AAAACACGAACCCAGGTATACATAATTGGTGGTGACGGCACCATGCGCGGCATGCTCGAGATCTTCAACGAGATCAGGCGCCGCAACCTCCAAATTTCAGTAGCAGGGATCCCCAAAACAGTAGACAACGACGTGGGCATCATCGACCGCTCGTTCGGGTTCCAGACTGCCGTCGAGATGGCCCAGCAAGCAATCTCCGCGGCCCACACGGAGGCCGAGAGCGCCGTCAATGGCGTGGGCCTCGTCAAGCTGATGGGCCGCAGCACGGGCCACATCGCCCTCCACGCCACCCTCAGCAGCCGGGACGTGGACTGCTGCCTCATCCCTGAAAACGACTTCTTCTTGGAAGGCAAAGGCGGCCTCTTCAAATTTCTCGAGGGCCGGCTGAAAGAAAACGGGCACGCGGTCGTGGTCGTGGCCGAGGGTGCAGGCCAGGACGTGATGCTGAAATCCGGCGAACAATCGCATGTGGAGGAGAGGGATGAGTCGGGTAACCCGGTTTTCATGGATGTGGGCGGGTGGTTGAGGTCGGAGCTCAAGAGGTGGTGGGGTGGGGCCCACCCAGGAGAGCTCTTCACGGTGAAGTATATCGATCCAACGTATATGGTGCGTGCGGTCCCAGCGAACGCAACTGATAATTTGTACTGCACGCTCGTGGCACACTCGGCCATCCACGGGGCGATGGGTGGGTATACGGGCTTTGTTTGCGGGCTGGTGAATGGGAACTATGCGTATATTCCGGTGGAGGAGGTGGCTCGGGCGAAGAACGTGGTCGACACAAGGGATCATAAGTGGGCCTGGGTTAGGTCTATTACTAATCAGCCTGATTTTGGGAAGAGTTAAGTTTGTAACGGGAAAGGGCAATCCAAAAATTTTAATGAAATGATCGATCTTTCTTGTAATAAGTTCTTTTGTGTATGTGTTTAGCGTTTACTCGGTATGATTACTCTTGTTTCGTGTTAGTTTATGGTTTTGCTTTAAATTCGGGTGTGATGTCTTGTGGTTTTCTTTTGTAGTTTATTATGTTTGAGCATTAAATAGCACATGAAAAAGCTGTCAAGAGAGTCAGTGGGTTGTGATGATGAGAAAATTTTCTTCCGGCTTGCTCTAGTCTCTTAATCTGCAAATTTTGTTTATTTATTTATTTATTGTGATTTTTTCTGTTAAACTGAAATATGAAGAACCTGAACCGCCTGAATATTGTTCTGTTTGTTTGATTGTATCTTATTCCCATGAGTTGTGCCGATTCAAGAACGAAAATGGGCATATGAGAATGATCATATCATAAGGAGATTAAGGTTGACAGACATACATTAACAAGACACATTACAAAACAAAACAGAAAGGCCAAAGCCAAGAGAACAGAACCAACATGGATAGCCAACTCAAAGGGAAATAAAATTCCAGAATTTATTCAATGCTTGGGAAGTTGTTAATCATATTTCACCATTTATGCTTTACTTAGTTTCTCCCCAATTCTTATTCTTGTGGACTGGTCTTAGCAACAGTCTTCCCCACAGCACACTCGTGCACAAGTGATCAGCTGCTTAGAGTAATCAAACCGGCAGCAACGGCACCCTACTAAAAATAAACCAAAACGCAACTCTTAATCGACACAACATTATTGAAATGCGTTCGTTTTTTATCGGTCTAAAATAATAGAAAATACTACCTTGAGGGTAGACCACATGCTCGGAAGGTTTCGTTGTTGCTGCTCCAAATGAAGCGGTGGCTAGATATGCAATTACTAAAAGCCATGCCAAAATGGTAACCAAAGTTTTCTTGCTCAACATTATATTATATACAACCTTTTCTCTTTGTTTTTATTTTTGGTTTTTCTCTCTGGTTTTATGTTGTAACAAATGCTGGCATGTTAGTCTTTCTCTTCTCTGTCGTATTTATAGAGGTTGGAATTCATCTCTGCGTAGATATGCGATCGAGCGAATGACACTGATGAGCCTATGTGAACTGGAGAAAATAAATCTTTTCTTCCACTTGCAGCTTTTCTTGACCGATAAACATTCTGCATGTCTTTGGCCAACTTCTCAATTTGTGAAAGTACAAAAGACTTGTGAGGATAGTGACGTGAGTAGGCCAAGGCCGTTTACTTCACATGGCTGGCTCAGGGTTATATTTGTTTGTCAGTGACAAGTTGTGTGCAGGTCTATTGGACTTGTTAAACTCGGTTTTATCGAATCCCAAAATATAAAAAGGATAAAAGAAAAAGGAAAAAAAGAAGGAAAAAACAGGTCACATTTTCTCATTCTCACATTGTAATTTATGTTGGATTTTCGAGTTTATTTTTCTTGTTTGGTTGTTAAGATGAAAAAGGTTGAAGGCAATTGATCGCATTCCTGTTATCTTCTAACTTTTTTTTTTTTTAAGTGATAGCACCACTAACATGACCATTGATTGAGCCCACAAGAATTAAAAGTCATCATCTTGTACAAAATAATAAAAATAGTCACTTTAGCTTGAAAAAAACTACTTTAGCAAATTCATCTCAAACTCTTCACTGAATTCTAAATTCATTTTCATTTCGCGGCCTTAAAATGCAATAATTGTAACATTAAACATTAATTAGCTTTGACAACATTTTATTTTCTGCTTAACTCCTGTTATTTTGTCTTTGATGTGGATTCTTGTTTGAGAAGTGATTTGCTGGCCTTTGAAGCTGTTAAGGGTGATTGATGTGGCTTATTCCCTGGGAAATCCTCTCCATTTAGGTTTGTTGAGTTGGCTTTCTTGTAATCAGTTGATTGTAAGGATAGAAAGAAAGAAATCTGGCAAACAGTTACTATAGCATTTTCTTTTGAGATAATTATAAAGATAAATATTTTCTGGCCAAGCACACATCCACTTTTGGTTCCACAATTTCAACTGAGAAATAGCAACAATATGAAGGGATAATTAACAGTTCTGTAAGAAATTGGGGACAGTTTATTATTTAGTTCAGTCATAGAGCCTTATCCTTGTTGTTATCTCTGTGTGGCAAACAGGACACCATGTGAGATCATAACCACACTCATGGCAAGTCTGCAAATTAACAATGTATATGAATATTGTTATTATTATACTAAATATGTAGCATTACAAGATGAACAGAAACTGATTACCTGATGGCCGCATCCAAAAGCAAGGTCTCGTCTGTTATAGACACAAACCGGACACCTCTGCATATCACCCAGAACATAATTGTTAGCAAGGTAACTAAAAATACAAAAGTCATTTTGAATGCTAAAATATAATAAAAGTGCAAAAACATGTGTATATATATTAATATATATGCACATACACCCACCCGACTAGTCGAAGAAATTTCCGGAACACTTGGAATTGGAGGTGGCAATGGAACAACTGTGCTAATTCCTCTCTGGTTGCTGAGAAAATACTTTAAAGTAACTTCCACAGGAATTCAACTACTCTTTTTCATTTGGTTAATAAAATTGATGGCAATGAATAGAGGAATTTTTGCTTTTCTGCTATACAGTAAATCGTTGCGCGGCACAAACCAAGAAAAAACTTAATAAATTTAAAAATCAAGTCAAGTTTACCCCAAGAGATGGAGTTCAATAGTGGCTCTGTACTGTAAGGGGATTTCCATTAGTGCAGCCAGAGCAAACTCGGCCTCCTTCTGTTCTAGAGGCACGTTTCTCGACATAATCTCCGTAAAGTTCACAAACTGCGCATTGTTTCCACCACCAAAAATACAATCACCCGTCAATTTCCTAGTCATAAAAGTGCTCAAAAGTTCTTTACCTGAATATTGTCGAACTTCCTTGCAGGAATATTATCATCAAATTTATGCATCATGTCCCATGGCCCGTCTCCTACTCCAACCACTACTATGGACAGTGGATAATCGCTGCAAAACATAATTAGCGTAAAGAGCAAATAAATAACTAAAAAAACCGTTCTTGGAACAAAGATTTAGTGTAAAACAATACCCGAATACCTTTTTTTTAATCTTATTGCTCATAATTCTAACCTTGCTCTTACAATGGCATCCACAGTCTTTTTCTCCTGAGGACTCAACTGCCCAACCGCTGTGTCTACACTTCGTGTCACCTGTCACGGCACACCAAACTTAACAAAATCTGGACAAGGATAGAATGATTTTTTTTTTTTTTTTTAACTCGATTTTCCAAGAAGACAGAAATTAAATGTGGTTATTGAAGTACCTGGCCATCAGCTATAATCAGAAGAACATGATACTGACCACCACTTTGATCGACAATCCCAATAGCCATTTCGATTATGGGAGCGAACGATGTAGGCCCTACACAATCACAAGACAGATATCTCAATAAGTATAAAGTATAAAATAAAATAAAGCAACCCCATATTCTTAAATCCATAAGAAGCTCGAAAAAATTAGCTGTTCAAACTAAGCGAACCTGATAAACGCACATATGGAACAATATCTCTATACCGAGCAAGTGCCTCCTCAAAGCCGTCACACGACCTGCCATCCGGGTAGAAGCTAAAAACATCTTGATCATGCGTACTAACTGCAAAGTAAAAAAAAAATATATATATATATCAAATTCAGAATTTTTATCAAAGTCTTAATAGAAATGGAGTAGAAGAATTAATTACCATCCCCAAAGCCAAAGCAAGGGATGAGATTATCCTCGTCAAATGACGGAAGTGTCCTTCCAATGATGGAGATGGCGTGCTCGTATGGATTCATGCCTTGGCCTATGTGGTGGAGGGACCTTCCATTGAAAGACTCTCTTCCAGTCCATTCGTTGCTCTTCGTGAAGTCTATGCCAACAATCAGATTCGACGACTCCAGCCCGGATTCCGAAAGAGCTCGTTTCACCTAAATAAAACACGTTTTTTCATCAGGAAGTTGACTATTTTTTTGAGGTCGATTGTGGCTTTTTTCGGTCGAAAAATTTCGAGAATCATTGGTTTGAATGATCAATGATTGTTATTTTTACATACATGCATACAGACAAGAAACAAGTTTCTTGAAGTTCCAACAGTTAGTTAATTTCCTCACAAGAAACAAAATAAATACGAATCCAAATCTCCTAATGTGTTGACTTACCTCATAAAGGATCAGATAAAGCAACAACTTGAAGTCAAAAGCTAAATATTTATATATAGTTTTTTACCTGGTCTAGAGTGGCGTAGTTGTCATCAATCCTTCTAAATCTCGAGTAAACCTCCCTTGTGCTCTCTGAAACAAACTCGGACTCGGAAAAACTAAGTTCGTGAGCAGATGAGCTGCTGACCAGATTTGGCGCCATAACATTTCGGCTCGATTTGCCACCCATATATGTCACCTTTTGCAACGTACTGCCAAAAGCCAAAAACTGAATGAAAACAAGAAACTTAAATTAAATGATTGACAAATATGTGAGGGCCAACACAAGAAAAACAAGAGAACTTTTGGCAAATGAGAATGATGCCAAAGGTCTGCCTTTTTTTTTATGTTCAAACAGTTAGGTTCAAGAACTAAAAACTAACATTTTTTTAGCTGACTTTGTTTTATATGTATATTTTTCTTAGGCGTTAGTTTCTGTCCCTGGTTCGGACAACATGCCTTCAAACGAAATAATTCTTTCTTTCTTTTCTTTTCTTTTTTCTTTTCGAGGAAGTTATAGATTAATTCTTCATAGGGAGTGTCAGCATCATTTTTATTTGGTATCACACTAAATGATTGTTTAGGTAATACCTCGCATTTGACAGGAAAGCATACATCCGGTTAATCAGGCTTGCTTTGTAATAATTTATCAGGCTTGGTCTTTNATTTAATATACCCGCTTATCAAGTATTGACTATTGCCTAACCAAATTGAATGTTCAACGAGGTTTGGGCACCACAAGCAAATGAGCAATGTGGCTCTGGCCCACTTTTGGTTGACTATAAAATGAATAATGAAAGACCGAAAGAAAGTTCATGGCTGCTTTCCGGTGGAGGTACCAAGAAATCAAATTAACATCCTAATTTAGTTCCAGGATTTGGCATAAATCAAAAACATTCGTAGGTAAACTTATTTTTTCAATCAGTTCTAATTTTTCTATTCATTCTGAACGCATTAATTAAGAACCCAAAGAGATGCGCATTTGTCCAAGTACTCAAATACTCCATTTCACTATATTTCAATAGTTACCTACACCAGCAAAGTGCATTCCATGTTTGGAACCAAAAATTTTCTTGGTCTGAGTGTGTACATGTGGCGATTGTATGCTTCATGATAATTTATGATTCCTGCTCGTACTTCCTTTTGTACATAATAACGAATCATCTTCATGGCAATAGCTATATTTAAAGTTTTTGTGAAGAAAAATCATAAACACATAAATATCTTGCTATTTTGTGATGTTTTATTTAGTGAATGGGTTGTGTTAGTATGTTGATATATGTGTCCTAGAGACTATCTTTTTGAAGACACTAGTAAAGTGCATGGTGAATGTTTTTGCCAAGTAAATTTAGTAAAATAAATTAATTAATTTATTACAAATATCATTGCAAAAATAAAATAAATAGTAGAACAAATGAACTCATAATGTAATTGTTTTTTGCCAATTAAGTTTTGTAAGATAAATAAATAAATTAGTTTATTAAATAGATCATTGTAAGAATGAAATAAAATGTTTTAATGAAATAAAATGTAGAACAAATTGTTTTTTCCAAAATAACTTAACTATGTCCTGATATAAAAAGAATTAAATAATACATTACAACCCCAACAAAAACACTAAATAACTAAATAATGACTAATATATATTATACATGCATTAGTTCTTTTATTTGTTTATGTTAGATGATTCAATAGCCATCTCTTTCATTTTGGTTTTGACGTCCTCATAAGAAGCATTGCTAATTCAATAGTATTGCAAAATTCATCTTAATTTATTTGGCAAAACGTCTACTTTGTTCAAACACTTAAGAAATATTTTAGCCAAACATATATTGAAACTTCATGGTTGTATTATCTTTATATTTCTACTAACAATGCATGAACATCTCTGCAAAATAATCAATCGTGTCATTAAAATTGTTAGTTATTTTTTATCATTGTATAAACTACTATATTACTCTCTCTATATATATAGACAAATTGATACCTACCTCATGGATATATCGCCGTACGGAGGGGAATGAATTTCATCTCTAAATAAAAATTGACTTTTCAAAATCTCTATTACATGTATTTTTCTTGAGATTATTTTTTGAAATCATCACATATTACCTAAAAGTACAACTTCATTCAAACATTCAAAAATGTTTTGATCAGGCTCCAATGTTTCATTTTCAATTTCATTTATTTGGAAGATAGACGAACTATATAATCTATTGTTTGCAAATCATTGACCATCTAGTTCTTGCAATGATTTTAGAATTATTTATCTTAATATCTTTTACATTCGTTTTGATTTGTGACCGCGCGTCGCGACGCGGCAAATTTAAATTTATAAAAGTTTTCCTATACTACCCTCTATTAACTAGTAGTAGTGGCGAGTAAGGGTCGATCCCACGAGGAGTAGGAATTAAATTGTGACAATTTCGTATTAATTGAATTTAAACTAAGAAAGCAAATAAATATGGGGGGATTGATTTTATAAAAATAATAAAATAAAATAAGAGAAGTCCAGTTTTCAGTTCAGTTATCACCCAATCTCAATCTACCGTTAATTAATTTCGACGCTTTCTCTAGATTGCTAATGAATTACCAACCCTAGCTAACAACAAGCTCTGTTAACCAAATTTTCCCTTACCGAATATTTAATCGAAATAAGTTATTCGACTAAACCTAACTAGTGGACAACCTGGAATAAGCTCTCTAGATTTAATACACTAGCAGCAATAATTACTAGGAAAATAGATCAGTCTAAGCAACGGACGCACAAGCTCGGACCATTTAGCTTATGTTCACGCTACCCTAGAGATGCACGACCCCTAGTTTACTACTAACGAAACGAGACAATAACAATTACGAATTAAAGTCCCGAATCTAGCAATTAAACTATGAACATTCAACGTAGCTGGCCAAACTAAATCAAATACTCATAATTCATAAACATTAAACACAGATAGCATGAATCAACTCATCAACAAAATAAATACGGCGTTTAGATTAATCAACGATAAACAAAGATCATTCGATTCATAGACAAATCAAACTTAGGGTTCAAACATCCCCTAAAACTGGATAAAAATACTAAACTAACATACTAATAAAAATAAAAGATGGATAAAAGAGAGAATAAAATCTCCCTCGTGTGCGAGTGCGGCTTTCCTCCGCGTGTAGAGCTCTCCTCTCAGTCTGTGCGTGAACTGCCTGCGTTTTTCTTCTGTGCGTCTATCTGTTCCGCTTGTCTCTTTTTCTTTTCTATGTACGGCTTTTTCTTTTCGTAAAAATCAATAATTCCTCACGGTCCTCAATTATATGTTATGCGTGAGTCCCTCTCGTCGATAATTCCCTTGGCCGCAAATAATTCTCCCCACAATTTTGACCTCTCCAGCAATCACGGCTCTTTTCTATTTGCTTTTTTTTTTTACTTTCCTGACTAATTAATTGTTAGCCATCTAAGTTCTCACAAATAAATCCACTAGCCCAAATAAATCCTTTCCCCTGCAGCGTGGCTATGGACGGAGCTTTTGCCTCTTTATTTTAATTCCTTCTCCCCTCAATTAACTAAGTGGCCTTTGATTAACTTCTTTAACAATTAGCTTAAACATGAGCCGGCATGGGTCGCTCGATAATTAATCGCGTGAATTTCGGTCTAATGCTTCACGACCACAAAATACTCTAAAATACTGAAAATAACACATAAAACATAAAAGCCAATAAATCCATTCAGATAATAAATAGGTCGAAAATATAAAAGTGCGGATAAATTAAGTATATAAAAATGCACTATTAAATACATAAAACGTGTACATTTTTCTACCTATCAATTTGTAACATTTATGTGTCCAATAACTTTTTTAATGCTTTTACTGTCCAACTTTATGCATTATACATAATGCTCAGAAAACTCAAGATAAAGATCATTTTTTGATTCTTCACCAATGGCAAAACCAAACAAAACAAAACATTGAGACAACATTGAGAAGCATATCATTTGTTAAAATATTTGAGATGAGAAGAATTGGAATTCTATTTTATGACTCTTAGTCATCTTTGAATTTTATTATTACGAAATCATTATTAAAATCTACATTATGTATTATAAAGTTTTAAATTTTTAATTATTTAAAATTAAAAAATTGATAATATAGGATCATTATTTATGAGATCCAATTTCTTACAGAGTCCATATATTTAAACGTTAGCAAAAAAAAAAATTATTTTTAAAAGAATTTTTGTTTCTAAATATTGGTATTCATACTTGTCTAAGAAAATTCAGATATTTTCTTTTTTCAATTGCATTACTATTATTTTATTAGTTTTTTATTTTATTGATAAATAATACTTTATTTATTAAAAGAATTATAGAATATTTATGTATTGCATCATTTTTTGTACGTGTTTCATATAATGACGTTGTTATCAAAATATCTTATTTATTAGGCAACAACTAATATAATCACATAAGATAAAATAATATTTAATATTACTTATTTATTTATTTATAATAATAATATATTTGATAAAAAAATGTACTTTTATACTGATTATTATATTAAAAGGTTTAGAATTTTTTCCCAATGTTTGAGAAAATATTAAGAAACTAACTCATTTTCATACTCATTGAATTTATATGTTAGTTGAATAATAATTTAACATACAACTCATTTATTTCTCCTTTTAATTCACATGATTAATATTGGTGATAGTTGTATGTTTACATCCATTGTTTGTTTTTTCTTAGTATGAATTTTTGGATCTATGTAAGAAAAATATGCCACAAGTTTATATTATGTTATTTAATACTTAATGAATTTATTTAACATAATGTATAATTTATTTTATAAGATACTTTTAAGTATATTTATTATTTAAATTCGTGTTGATAATTGATATACATCATTGGAAAGAATGATGTGATATATTAAATATATATCCCATCATGTGAATTTTAATTAAAATAATGATGCAATTAAATTTTTAATTAAAAGAATTTAAAACTTTTTATATTTCCAAAACGATAGAAAAGAATTTAAAACTAACATAGTGAATTTTAATGCAAATAAATAAAAATTTATGAACTTAAAAGTTCAGGTTAAAATAAATATGCATATTAAGTATGTTTGATATTTCTCATTACTTAGCTCCAATTGATATAAGACATTAATTAATTTTATCACTTTTTTTTGTTACTTTCAGATTTAATGCGAGCTATAAATTTTCTCATCATTCTTACCCCTTGTTTAGCTATTATAATACTAATAAAATAATTAACGGCTTTTTGACCTAGATGTATCTTGTTTGTTTTGAAATAGTTTACTATTTACCATAAATTAAATGATAATTAGATTGAATGTGTTATATTTTCTATCATTATCAACAATTTTCGTAATAATTAGTTGCACACAATATTATATATAACTAGTGTATATCCCGTGCGATGCAAGGAAGAGTTCATATTTTAAACATTTTTTAGACTTTATTTTAAATATAATTATTTATATTTTTCACTTCTCGTCTATTATGAAAATAAAATAAATACAATCAATGAAAAATATATATTATTAAATACTTTTCTTTATACAATATTTTTTATTTAAGGAATATTATTAAACCTTACGGTTTTGATTTGTTTTTTTAAATCAATAATCCAAAATATATGATTGTTAACGTACAAAAAATAATGAAAATAATCCAGACTTTAAAGTAAAGCTATTTTTTATTATTTTACAAATAAAAATCTTCCAAATTTTTTTTAATTTTAAAAAAATGGCAAGTTTGATAATGAGTTAAATCAAGTTATACAAATGATTAAATAGTTAAAATGTTATATCAATTATATTTTAAGAAATCCAATTATATAAAAATGGATAAAAAAATATTATACTAATTAGTTTGTTAGGATTGTGATTATATGGAAGTTAAAATAAAATGAAATGTAACCAAAAAATTTGTTCGTGGTCTTTTCCTTTAAATGTTTGAATTTAAAAATTTAGTAACCAAATTTACATTATATCACGTAAGGAAAAAAAATAAATAATAAATATTTATTAAAGAGATAAATCAATAATATTTATCACTTTGATAATAAATAATAAATATGTACATGTAAAAAAATAAATAATAATATATTTAAAAATATAAGTCAGAATTTCAAATAAAGTAAAAGGAGGGATAACTCATTTTTTTAAAAAAGTTTCTAAATATTTAATATATTGATAAGTATCTCCATAAGAATAATCATACCATTTTAATTTTAAAAAAATTGGCAAGTTTGTTAGAGAGATAAATCCGGTTAGATAAATAATTAATTTGTTAAGATATTATATTAATTGTATCATAAGAAAATCAGTTAGATAATGTAGATTGTTTGGAATCTTTTCCTTTAAAGTAAAAAGTATGTTTGTTCAAATTTATTTTTAAAATAAAAGTTATGATAAACATTTATTGATTCTCTTCCAAATATATTAATAAAATAAAAATATAAATCTAAACAAATTTTGAAACAACCAAAAAAATTGGATTGATTGGCATAAAAAAAGGAAGTGAAATCGGATTTGAATGCTAAAATCGGAACACCTTACCAAATTGAATGCTAAAAGATTCGATTTGATTGGTTACCTAATTGCATGGGCTGAAAAAATTCAAAAAAAAATTTTACGAATTGAAGAAGCGGGAAAAACACTATATTGAAGCGGGAAAACGAAATGATTTTTTTTCGGATTGTTCAAATAATTTTTCTTCTCCGTATTATATAGTAATAGATGAAAGTTTTCTTATTGAATTGGAGCCCTACCTTTACTACAAGAAAATGAGAAAATTCCAACAAAAATTTCAAAAAAATTATATTACAAGGGAATTCATCGAAAATTCTAACGAATATTTCAATGTTATTACTCCCGTTTGAATTTTCCAATATAATTCTAGAAAAAAATATTTCATTGGAATCATGAACAGATCTATGTTTATTTATAGGTCCGGCACAGTCCTCCATCCCAAAGCATATAGTGTAAGGTATCTAATAAAAATTGTGGGAATATTTTTTCATATTTTTTTATCATGTCCCCTATTTTAAAATGAAATTAAAATAAAGAAAAATACATAATGAATTAATTTACAACTCAACCAATTATAATTTGATTCAACCCATAACTTTATTAATGTTATAACATAAACGCGGCATCACAACTAAAGAAAATATAATAATCTCAAAATTACGACCCAGCAGTTGAGACCAATTTATTCATTTATATACTGAAATCATCTATACCTGTTATTATCATGAATAATTGCATCACTACGATATAATACCGTAACGATTCGCTAGTTCACGCCAAGTTTTCAAATTTTTTATCTGATATATGATATAGACTTTTCTATTCATATTTTAAAGGCCTTTTTGAATTCAATTAAATGTAAATGAACCATATTGATGATAGTTTCAAATCTCTCTTTTGCAACATATTTTTTTTTATATCTTCAAAATATAATTTTTACGTCTTTTTAACTAATGCAAGGGGAATTATAGTTATATATTCATAATTTATAAATTAATCAATTGTATTGTCGAGTCAGCTATACTACAACATAGATTTTTTGTTAATAAATTTTTTTAAAAAAATATTATTTTCAATAATTTTCTTATGTTGAAATGAGAAAAATCGTCATTTTTTTATTAAATATTTTGTAACTTATTACGATTGTACTGATGTGTTAGAACGTATTGATGGTATATTTTTTCTATTAGCTAAATAGTGCCCCCAATATGAAATTGTCTGTATCTACCACTGCAATTAGCTTTCCAATGCAACTTTCATTGACTTTTTTACAATTCCAATGAAAAATTTTTCAACGGTAGAAATATGTTCCCAAAAAAATATCAAATGAGTTCACACAACAATAAATAATAGTAATTCGAATCATTAAATCCACTAAAATTCTATTATAATTTAATTTGATGTATGTTGGAATAGCCAGTGATATTTTTCAATAAAAACTATGCAAATGAAATATCCTTTGGAATTTTTAGTGGAACACCTTATCGTTGGATTTTTCATTGCAATATAGCATTTTATTTTTTACATTTCCTTTTAAACATTAAAATTTTTATGTCATAGTTTATTTTAATTAATTGCATTTACAATTTTTTTATTAAAAATATATTAAACACATGAACTTTTTAGTCCATATAACTTTTTAGAAATCACTCGTTATTTTAACTTAAGATTACCTATTAATTTCTCAATTGATTACAACCTTTTACGTATTAAATATTAAATAACAAAAATAATTGTTATTTTATATTGTAATATGATATTTATATATTATATTAATAAAACTAATAGCAAATAAAATGATATTTTAAAATTAAAATAATAATTTTTTTTAAATAATAAAATTTCCAACCTAAATGGATAAAAGTACAAATAGCTATTATCTATCACCTAAAAGTTACAAATAGAACTAATAAGCACAAAAAATTACAAAGAAATAAACAAAATGTATTGTTCATGTATTTGTATTTAATTAATTAAGCATTAACTATTAATTAAAAATATAAGATATGATGGGTATTAATGTATTACTAATTTGCCATTAAAAACATGTTGAAGTAAGGGTTTTTTAGGTAATTCGCTTTTATTTAAAAATATAAAATAATATATGTATTAGTGTATTGCTAATTTGCCATTAAAAATATGTCAAAGTAAGGTTATTTTAGGTAGTTCATATTTTTACAAAAACACTCGTCCTTTTAAAGTAGTATAGATATAGATAGATAGATATATACATGATCACATTAATAATTATATTGAATTATAATTATGGTATTGCAATTAATTAAATAATTGTTTGATTGTTTGCAATTTATTAATTAATTGCTCCCTTGAGTTGATACTGTCATTAACAGAGTGAGATGTTAATTGATAAAGTATAACTCTAAAATTCGATGATCATTAAGAAAGAGATATTAATGATACGCGATAGATTGACATGTGGTCTGCATCACATTCTTGGAGAATATAGTATGTCTCACTGCTATGAATAATTGTTATTCGTGATGGACACATGGATACTTTGGAGAGTATTGGCATACCTTACCGAGAAACCATTTGTTTATGTGTCTATGGGAGTATCGGTGTGTGGAATGGTGTAATAGTCCTTTGACTTGAGGTCAATACGCAATTCATGTATAGAGTGATTTAGTTAGACCTAGTCCAAAGCTTACGCCCTTATGGGTAGATACAGGCTTGTGTTGGGTTTGTCACGATATACATGGAATTGGTAGTTGAGCCAAGATAGGATTCATTCCTCGAATATAGTTTCGAGAGGACACTTGTTTTCTCTATACTGGGTTGATAAAGTCATTGACCAATGCACGTGATTATATTTGAAATGGTGTTCAAATATAATTGATAAAATCAACCAGTGAGATGAGATAAAATGATTAAGCTGTTTGGATAGACACACGTTCAAATCCTAAGTTTAATCGAGTGGTTCGTGAATGAAGGGACCGTATCACTATTGAATTCTACACCAAAGGTTTGTTTGCTTTGTCTATGTAAACGTACTTCATATTTTGAGTTCGTCCTTCGACGCAGTCTAGGAGTTTCGTAAGGGTCATAAATTAGATTTATGTCAATATATGAAGGCCTATAGGGTCACACAATAAGCAATCAGTTTTTCGGTTAAGAGTGAATCGAGAGTGTTAAATATTCAATTGGATTGAAATATTTATTTTTGAGTAATGAGATTATTTTCTATTTGATTAGATCGAACCATTAGATGAAAGACACATCGTAAAATAAAAACACTCTCTAGCTTTCTGGATCGAGGATTTCTAACTTCTTCATCAGAAGGGATTCATTTGAGTATCGTATCGGGATCTGGATTGCGTGGATACCATAGTTGAAGACAAAGCTTAAACTGTAAGTTTTCGTGTATCATTCACGCGATTTAGGATCGTATCGAATAGCTATAGCCGGATCTTCGTTGTTGGTAAGAAAATTTGAAAATTCCGCTGCGCGTGCGATTGATTCGTACGTCGAAAATCCAACATTGTAATCTAAAGCAACCTTCTTGGATGCTGTACTTTTTTTGTTTTCGATTCGTAGATATATGCATGAGGTCGACTGGTTAAGTTGCGACTTGATTAGCAGTTACTATTTGACAGATGACCTTTTAAACATCTGAGAAATCACTGAATTTTCAAATTTTGAAATGTTGCCAAATTTCACAGGTTACAAAAATCTGGTGCCTAATCCACTTACTATTAACACATAAGTACAAAACTTACCCTTAAGTCTAATTAATCCATGCACTTACTTCAAAAGGATACAAATACCCACCTTGAGGATGTACTTATGCAAGTTAAACAATGAAGTATAACTTTATACATAAAATGTCCATGTGCATTGTGTTTGTATACAGAATTTATCTCTGGCTCTTTTCCTGATTTCTTCTAACTAAAGCTTTCTCACGAGAGCTCGACCGGATTTCCTTCCCTTTCTCCGTTGTGGGCCCCACATCTTCTCCTATTTTGAAGCTCGGTTCTGGCCTTAATTCCAGCTTACCTCCGGTCGTTTGGGACCTCTTCAGTTGAGGCATTTGCTTTTTCTCTGTTGACGAGTTGCTTTTCTCCTGTTCGAAGAACAGAAGTTGGATCACTGTCCTCAGAGGCAAATGCTCGTTTTTAACGGCGTGGGCCCGCATTTCCGGTGTCAGCTTCCGGCTATCTAAAACCCGACACAGCTGTTTCTTATCCGTTTTGCTCAGTTCGGGATGTTCCTGTTTCTCTCGACGGGATTAGCATGAATGGAAACTCGTGAAGTACATAAATTTNCTCATCAATCGAGTTTTGTTTTTAAAAAGCTGTGTACCTTGAGATAAATGTCGATTGCCACGTACAAATCATCGTGAGCTGTTCGTGCAACTCCCGGCACAGTCTCAGCAAGAGAGACCACTTTCTGAACCAACACATCAGCATCTTTCGCGACCACCTGCAGATAACAATCGATAAGCTTCCCAACCTTAGTTATCGATCTCAAGGCCTCAACTCCATTCCTCCATTGCCTCGTGAAACTCTCGAAAACCTTCTTGACCGAATCAATGTCGAGAGCTAGCAAATCACTAGAATCAGCCTCGTCCAGCTGCAAACCGCATAACCTCAAGAGCTCGGCTTTTGTCGAACTCGACACGTCCAGAAAATTCGCGAATCTCAACAGTCTGAGTAAGAATTTAATCGAGACGGAACCTCTGTCCACTGGAATCAGGCAAACGATAGTCTCCAGTAATTTCTTTTTCGTATCAGGAGATTCTGAAGCTGAAGTTGAACATTCATTATTGGGATCACTTTCTGTTATGATATTGTCTGGCAGCCAACGGCATGTGTAGACGTGCAGAGCCTCTCCTATGAGCTTCTGCTCGATAGAATTTGTCGAGTTTAATGAAGCAATGATGCATCTGAAAACGTCGATGTCGAGAAAGGACACGTCCTCTGTCCACCAATCTTTCGGGTGGCGCTTTTTCGAATAGCCCGGTCGAGTGTACGTGTAGGACCATGCAACCTGAAGGAAATAATTACCGAAACTACCCTCGAAAATTACCATGATTATAAATATAAGCGAAAGGAAAAAAAAAATTATGCCTAACCTTGGCCGGAGGTGTTAATATCTTGTCGATAATGGCCTCAATGCACCTTCGAACAATAGCAAGACTTCCCGACCAATTATACGCTTTCCGAGTGTTGTGTAGAGTCACAATAGGATCCTTCCAACCTTGAAGAATGCACGAAGAGAAAAAAAATTCCAATTTCGCCACAAAGTTTCTGTTTTCGACATCTTCAGTCATCCCGAGGTACTTGGCGGCACAAAAGACGGGCAAATAGTTGTGTGCACTGAGGTTTATTGTGATGCCATAGCAGAATTTGGCGCAATGCTCGAATGCCACGTGTCCTCCCGGGATGTCATCGAGTTTTAAGGTGACATCATCGCTCGAGTCATCAGATTCGGAGTATAGGCGTCGTAAAAGCCCGCATTTCGGAAGGAGTGGATACTGTTGCTAGGCATCAATAGAAAACCATATGAAAAAGGAGAAAATGTACTGCATTTTTTATGTAAATGCAGAACGACCCCTGAAGTTTTTGCTAATTACCAACTAGAATATGTACTGCATTTTTTTGGACGTGAATGAAATCTTTGAGAAAGAATTTTACCTTGTGGAGAAGAAAAGTGATATTATTTATACGAATAGTGAGGTCACTTGGCACGTCCGATATAACTGTCCTGATAATTTCATCGAGAAATTAATGAATCAATAATAGCATTAACCGATTATAGGAATTCGAGCTCACACGTACTTACCTAGTGGCTTCCTCTGTGTAAAATGTGTCTGGTCGAGTCCCGAGTTTCATGAACTTCATTTCTCGATATGCTGATTAAAGAACACTCTGAAGACAATGGAGCAAGCTATATAGAAACAGTTGTCCATATGAAATGTTATATAAAAATTCTAACATACAGCAACAATTGGCGAGGTTATGAGGGAGAATAATTGTGAAAGTGAAATAGGGTCATTTTGAGATTAATGGCAATTGTTGTATGAAATCCAATTGCTTTAGAGAAATATTATATATTTCTCGTGACATGTAAGGCAGAAGGATCCAGAAATTCGAGGATAATCCCATAGCATAAAGTAATGTTATAATAAGAGAATTAAAGTCGGATCATGTCAATCTATAAAGCTCACTTCTGTGTGACATTATTGTCTGATCACAATGCATGCACCTTTAATCCTTTATCTCCATTAACAATGATTAACATGAATGATTAAGGGGGACCATGTAATATCTTAATTAGCTAATTAATTTGTTTGTTTACATTAATTCACATCGGAAAAATACTTTCTTGGCACCTTGTTTTTTTTTTTTTTGGTACAATGAACCTTCCGGTTTCCGAATCCCCTAGGGGACCGACTAATCCGGAATCGAGCCGGGTAGGACCACAAGGGCGGCAAAGCTCTACCTCAAGAGTTTTAACACAGCTGCATTCCCAGGGCTCGAACTCGAGACCTCTGGTTAAGCTGGGAGAGACCCCAACCATCTCACCCACGTGCTCTTGGGTTCTTGGCACCTTGTTTTGAATGCATGATTGTTAAGGAACAATACAATTAAATTAAAACACTTTTGACATGTATAAAAGTCCGGCAGATCTTATGTTGGGTTGTCTAATGGTTAAACAGTCATACTTTTTCAACAAACATAACAACTTTTATACTCAAATGTTACACTTAGTAATACAATACAAGCAAATGTATGCATTTAGATTTTTTTTTTTTTTATAACAAAGTTTAATTTTTTAACGTTTAGGTAGAGTATCAGCAACATTTGTTTGAAATGAATGGTCGGTCTACAAGAATTGAGAAGCTGCAGATTAAGATAATGATCATCAATAGAGAAGAAATAATACAAATGGCAAAAAGAAAAGAAAAAGTGATTTTGTACACAAGGTTTGATTCTTGATGTGCTGCATTGATTAAAAACATACAGCATGTGGGTCAGTCAGAGATGCATGCACTATCTTGTAAAGGAAATTTACATAAATTCAGAATTTGAACTTCATGGTGGACAAATTTAACTTTTCACCTTTGGTATTTTTTGGGTACTTGGAATCTTACTTGAAGATCATTGCCCTTGCTTTTGGGAGAATAAATGAGGGTGAATAAATAAGAAAAAATGAGAGCAAAGAAACAAGGACCAAAACTTAAAAAATAAAAATAAAAGAAAAAGAATTAAAACATGAAGAGAGCTCACACATTAACACACACAGAGACCCTAGCTTTTTGCCTTTTTTCCTTATTTTCAAAAACAAGAAAAATGGGTACACTTCCCAAAATCACAGTTGAAGTCATTAGAAAATTGTGAAGCAAAGAAAAGCACTTTATCTCAGTGGCAAATTCTACATTTGGCAAATTTGCTTAGTAGTAGCTTGATAATGATTCTTAGAAGATTCCCAATAATGTTAATAGCTTTCAGATTTCCTTTTGTCCATACTCTATTCCAACACCACTAGAAAGCTCACACTATAGCCTTCCCTTTTTCTGATCATCCAGCAAGTATAGCACAAAACAACACAAACATATGTATAAAGTAGCTTCAGCTTTTAGTTTCTTGGAAGTAATTGATCATGTGTATGTACATATATGTACCATATTATTTTATGAATATCATGATACATCACAATTCAATGAGAAATACAATGAAAATCTTACCCTAATATTGAATTTGGATTACAATTAGTATAAGTGGCTCCAAATCTCGCTTCTAACGTTCATCGTCTTAATGATGTGAAGGTATTCATCGCCCTTGGATTATAATCATCAATCTTTGAAAGAACAAAGGACACTAATGAGCATGTGCAAATCAAAACATGTGACCCGATCAAAGAGAGAGTACTTACTTGAAGATTATATGCTTGGTGCATGTAATAATATGGCTAGTGAACAATTTATAAGGAAAGTTAATCACCAAATTCGTAGAAGCAGAAAGAAATAAAAGAAAAGGAGGAAGAAGAAGAAGAGTAAGAAGTAAAACAACTTTTTAATGGGCCATCCTTAGACAAAGAAAACCCTACCATAACATGAAGACGTATGAGGTAGAGAAAAACATGCACGAAATGTGCTCGTAGTCAACAGAGTTGTTAATGCGTTTATAACCTATGGAGCCGTGACAATACTAAAGCCATTGATGCAGTTGTCTGAGAAATGTCATAAGTGTCATCCGCTAATTCAACTTAATTAGTCAATAATATTTGTATTTTGATCACAAGTTTTTATTTGAACCTTCAAATATTATGTGACACGTACGATAATGACCTAGCTAGCATGATATGAATTTGCGTAACATTTACTATACAATTAATTAAGTTTAGTTATATGACATCAATTGACCTTTTATAAAGGTCACATATATATATGGTTAGTAATATTTAACTTATCGATTAGTAATTAAGAAATCCACTTGTGATTAAAATATCAACATATACAACCAATTTTAATGATATTCCAATATAGCACAATATTTGCGTGACTGAGTCGAAGAAACTTTGTTGCGGCGTGCAATGCAAGTGGGTGTGTAGTATGAGTGGGGAATCTGAAGGAGCATCGGTGGGGCCCATTCAGAAAGATCCAATACCACTTTCTCATCATATTTCTCCCCACTGCCCCGGGTTTAGTCTTCTTGCTCCGATCAACAAGTGTTGATGGATGGTTTTACCTCTTATTCTTGTCGGACGTGTGTTTGCTCCTACACCAAAGTCTAACCTTAAAAAAAAAAAATAAATAAATAAATAAATAAAAAAGAAAAGAAAAGAAAAGGAAACTGGCCAATTTGTAAAAAAGAGACCCCATCAAATCGCAGTAATAAGTAATTTGACAAAGGTAGGAAAATTAGTTTTGTACCCTTACGTTTAAAATAAAATCTCAAAATGGAATTATTTTAAGGTGGATGAGAAATTTATTTTAACGTAAATATATGAAATTGAAATACAACATAAATATATCATGAACAAAAATAAATGAAACTGTTATTTTTTCTGTATCAAAAAATAAATGTGTATTAAATCTTATTTATATTAATATAAAATGGAGGCAAATATATTGATTAACTTACAGATTAGCCTAATAGGTTCAGGTATAACGGTATAACAAAAAAAATAACACTGATTAAAACATGTAAAAAAACAAATAGATGATCTAATCATATTATTTTTTTACTTAAACAAATAGTCATATGGAACTTGGTCATTAATATCTTTGTCCCATTAAGGCTACGTATTAGGTTGAAAAGAAAAGAAACATTTAAAGATCAAAAGAATACGTTGATTAATGTTAGCAAACACATCCAAAACTGAAAAGCCTGCATCATCCTATTGATAAAGCTTTTCTAACTCACAAGTCACACACGATGTGCTATGATGGGGGCAGTGATGATGAAAATCATATTAGTAACATGATAATCATGGGTATAATTATTGCATAGAGTTTCGCAAGAAGATTATGTGGCTAACTTTGGGAATCTAAGCTAAGGCTTTTCAATGTAGCTCATGTGCCGCAAAGGATAATGCAATTCAATACTTGTATAAATCTGGATTTCATAAAATGTTTTATTTTGAAACATTTTAAACTGACATTGGAATTCGGTAAGATGACATTAATGTGCTATACTTCTGCCAGACCACTATTTATCTCTAGCTTGTTCAGGTCATTCGAGAACCTTAGCTCGAGTATAATCACTCCAAAGAATGAGCTCCTACCGACCTTTTAAAAGATCGAGTGAGCTATTCAACCACACCGACCTGTCGAAACTGATGTTGAACCGAGCTCACCTACATGGTCACATCATATATTTTATTTTATCTTTTAAATGGTATATCATCCATCAAATTACAAATCTACATGTTACCTAAAAATGGAGAATATCCCACTTGATAAAAAAATAAAAATGCTTGTACGATTTAAGGCAAGTTTTGTTGATGCCACCACATTTCCAGTGTTGGGATGGAAAAAATTGGTAGCCTGGGCACCTTTTTTAATCTCTGAGATACACATGTCCAATGTAACAAATAAAATATTCCTTCTGTTTTATATGTTATGTAACTCAATCGCTATTCACCGCCCCCCTTTTACTAGTCACCGCCCCCCCCAATTACTCTTTTGCCCTTAACCCTTTTTTTGATTTCATCTCTCTAAACTTTCTATCTCTCTAAACTTCCGAACTTCAACGAACGATTCGAGCGTCAAAAAAAATCCAAAAAAATGTCGAAAAAATTCTACGGCCTCGGCAAAGGATTCTTCTCCAACAAGGTAATTTTTTTTATTTTTTTTTTTGGCCGGAAGTATTTTTTAAAAATTATTTTTTGAACCAGCCGAACCGGCCGGCCGTCGGTTCCGGACGGACCAAAGGTTGTCCGGTCGGCCGAACCGGCCGGCTTTTGGTCCGTCCGGAACCGACGGCCGGACGGACCCCGGCCGGTCGCGAGCCGGCCGGACAAAAATCAATTTTTTTTTTTTTTTTTTTTTT